CACAGTCACATCTGAGAGTCATATTGGAGCAGGGTCCACCCATACCACCTTAACACTTTACCGTAACTACCTCTTAAAGGGCCCTATCTCCAACACAGTCACATCTGAGAGTCATATTGGAGTAGGGCCCACCCATACCACCTTAACTCTTTACCGTAACTACCTCTTAAAGGGCCCTATCTCCAACACAGTCACATCTGAGGTGCATTCAGCCCTTAACATCATTGGTACATCATTGGTAGGTTCTTGGAAACTGTAACTTTCAGTAAAACGACATATCAGAAAACCAATTGTTTTCTCAACAGTGTTACAGGGCAACAATGTTAAACAAAACACAGTGTTGTTAAAAGACCTGGATCTGTCCTTCCACTGAACAGTTGAGGTTTCCAAGAGCCTACTGACAGCATTGAGTGAGGGCTGACTGTACTAGGGGTTAGGACGAATGTTGGGGGGACACAATTCAGCCCCTAAGAGGAGGTGACAGAGTGTGCCTAAGGCAGGAGGGGAGAGGAGGGCGTCTCTAAGATGACGATGAGCTGAGATCTGGATGAAGGGCGGGAGCTAGCCACGCCAACGCCCAGGAGAGCATTCCAGGCACAGCAGCAACAGCGCTCGCCGTGAGGTGCAGACGTGGTTCAGGGCTAGTTGGCAGACTCCAGCTTCACGGATAGTAAGGAGCGGGTGGGATGATGGGAAAAAGGGAGACGTTCGTCAAAAGGTACGCAGTTTCTGTTAGACAGAAGTAAGTTTTTGTGACCTAGTGCACAGCACGGTGACCACAGTTCCTAACAGTACACTGTTGTCTTCGTCCATTTTGTGTTGCGATAACAGAATACCACAGATGGGGTCATTTATAATGAACAGAATTTCTTTTCTCACAGTTCTGGAAGCTGAGAAGTCCAAGATCAAGGCACTAGCAGGTTAGGGCCTGGTCTCTCTGCTTCCAAGATGGTGCCTATTGCTGCATCCTCCAGGGAAACACTGTCGTCACATGGCAGAAAAGCAAAAGAGAAGGAACCCATTCCTGCAAGCCCTTTTTTTAAATGGCATTAATCCGTTAAATATTTCCATTAGGCTCCACCTCCCAGTAACACTCTACAGGGCACTAAGTGTCAACATACAATTTGGAGAAGACAGACACGTTCAAACCACAGTAACTGTATACCTGAAAACGACTAAAGAGCAATCTTCAGCATTCTCAGCACGAGGAAGTGATAGGTAGATGAACTGATAGGTATGTGAATTAGCTTGATTTGATCATTCTCTCATGCACACACATATCCAAAACATCACACACTGTATTCCGTAAATATATACAATTATTATCTGTCAACTACAAAGAAAATAAAAGGTTTCTATTACAAGCAAAGAAAAAGAGTGTAAGCTGTCTAGGATGGCTGGGGTGCGGTGAGATGTCACAAGACCTTAAGGGCATTATGACTGACCTCCAGTTTGAGATGGGAAACCAGTGGGGAATTTTGAGCGGTAAGAGTGGCATGATCTGACTTTGTTCTAAAAGCAACACTAGGCCGGGCGCGGTGGCTTATGCCTGTAATTCCAGCACTTTGGGAGGCCGAGGCGGGTGGATCACAAGGTGGCTCAAGCCTGTAATCCCAGCACTTTGGGAGGCCGAGGCGGGCGGATCACAAGGTCAAGAGATCGAGACCATCCTGGTCAACATGGTGAAACCCCGTCTCTACTAAAAATACAAAAAAATTAGCTGGGCATGGTGGCGCGTGCCTGTAATCCCAGCTACCCAGGAGGCTGAGGCAGGAGAATTGCCCGAACCCAGGAGGCGGAGGTTGTGGTGAGCTGAGATTGCGCCATTGCACTCCAGCCTGGACAACAAGAGTGAAACTCCGTCTCAAAAAAAAAAAAAGAGATCGAGACCATCCTGGTCAACATGGTGTAACCCCATCTCTACTAAAAATACAAAAAATTAGCTGGGCATGGTGGCACGTGCCTGTAGTCCCAGCTACTCGGGAGGCTGAGGCAGGAGAATTGCCTGAACCCGGGAGGCGGAGGTTGCGGTGAGCCGAGATCGCACCATTGCACTCCAGCCTGGGTAACAAGAGCGAAACTCTGTCTAAAAAAATAAAAAATAATTTAAAAAAAGCAACACTATGTTGAGAATAGACGGGCAGAGACGGGAAGGGCAGAAACAGGAAGACGAGCTACAAGGCTTTTACAATAATCCAGCTGAAAGAAGACAGTCGCAATGGAAGTCTTGGGACATGGTCAATTTTGGATATAATCTGAAGAGAGCTACCACAGGAGTTACTCATGGATAGAGGCAGAATATGAGAAAAAGAGAGGAGTCAAGGGCAGTTCTAACGTTCGTGGCCAAAGCGACAGGGTGAACAGTGGTGCCATTTACCTCGATGGGAAAGCCAGTGGAAGGAGCAGGTTTGCACAGGCGCAGAAATTGCACGCCATTGCCCAAGTGTAATGGCGGGACGGCAGCCTCTGCCTCCCAAGTTCAAGCAATTCTCCTGCCTCAGCCTCCCAAGTAGCTGGGATTGCAGGGCCTGCCAATGTGCTCAGCTAGTTTTTGTATTTTTAGTAGAGACAGGGTTTTGCCGTGTTAGCCAGGCTGATCTCGAACTCCTGGCCTCAGGTGATCTGCTTGCCTCGGCCTCCCAAAGTGTTGGGATTACAGGCGTGAGCCACCACGCCCGGCCTAAAACTGGAAATTCTTGAGATCGCCTAGTGGGTGAGTGTCGGGGGAAAAGATGGAAAAAAGGTCCAGGGAGTAAAGCCCTGAGACACCCCAACACTTACGGAGTAGAAAAAAGTAGATTCAACAGAAACAAAGCGGAGACGCTGGAGGAAAACCAAGAGAGTATTTGTCCTAGAAGCCACATGAAGGAAATAGTCCAGGAATACTGATGAGACGCTTAGTAAGAAGAAGAAAAACTGGCTATTGGATTTACCACACAGAGGCCATTGATGAGTTTGACAAGAGCTCTTTCCATGGAGTGGTGGGGGTGAAGACCTCATTGCAGTGGGTCCATGAGAGAACGTGCAGGGAAGAATCAGAGGTGGCAACTCTTTTGAGGAGTTCTGCTCTAAAGAGGGGAAGGAGAAGAGCACAGCAGTTCGAAGGTGCAGAGAAAAAAAAACTGAAGACAGGAGACTCTGCAGCACATCTGCATGCACATCGAGTAACTGGTCAAGAGAAAAAATCAACAATCCAGAAGAAAGTTAATACTTGGAGTCCATGCAAAGCTAGGGCTTGGGCTTGGATGGCGAAGGGTTGGTTCATTCTTAGTAAGAGGAAGGAAGGCAGGCCATAAAAGAACCAGTGCAACCGAGCTAGCAGATTTAGTGGTTGGGGCTGGGGGGGATATGGAAATTGTCTTCTGATCTCTTTTAGTTTCTTAGTAAAATAAGAAATACAGCAACCAGCAGACTGAGGATGGGAAGGGATGCTGAAGACTGAGGATAAAGATATGTGGACAGATTAAAGAAATAAACAGGTAGTGTTGATAAAACTTAACTGATTAGACATAGGAAAACGTTAAGACAAAGAAAACGAAGATTCCTGAGGTGGCAACTGCGTGGATAGCGGAGTGTATGGGAGCAGCAGGTCCAGGAGGAACGGGGTTGGATTCTGACGTGGAACGTCTTGTGCCAGTGAAATCCAAGTGGACGAAAGTGTCTGCAGCTCAGAAGAGAAACCTGAGCTTGAGATCTCCAGCTCCCTGATCTGAAGTTGTCAATACTAAGGTAGGAGGAAGTGGAGGGGCTTTTGTGGTTTCTGTTTTCTCTGAGAGGTAAAGGGACTGGTGGTTTAAAATCAGAGAAGGGTTGAGCTAGATTCTGGGGGAGAATGGGAACACTGACGAGAAGAGGAGGATCATCAGGTACTCTCGGGGGGCACAGCTAAGGTGGACCTCTTCTGCTGAGTGGTTCCAGTCCCACCACTGCAGAGTCCTGGGGCCCACAGCGCCATAGGACCTTGAGGGCCCTTTGACTGGCCCTTTGTTTGAGATGGGAACGACAACCACCGGGGCCCAGAGTCCCTCCTGCTTCTCCCTGCTGGGCCTCCCCACCCAGGGTTCCCTCTCACCACCGAGCCACATTCCTTGGCCTTGAAGCCCGTCCCTTCCCTACACGCATCACGCTTTCCTCCTTGCTCTCCTGGTGAACTCCTACCCACCTTCCTCTACTCAGATCAGGGCAGGAGTTTCTCAGACACCTTCCTTCACTGTTCCCCACATCCCCTGCCCTGTGAGCCAGAGGTTTCTTCTCTGTATCCAAAGAGCCCCTCGAATACCTATGACAGCATAAAACATACTGCACTGCATCACTGATTTACTTAGCTGCCTCTCTCACTGGACTGCAACAACTTGAGGGCAGAACGTTTTCACCTTTATAATGATCATGACTTAGTAGGTAGCTCAATACACGTGAAATTGACTTAGGAGAGAAGAACTAAAGTCCAGGTTGTGCGCGGTGGCTCACGCCTATAAACCCAGCACTTTGGGAGGCCGAGGCGGGTGGATCGCGAGGTCAAGAGATCGAGACCATCCTGGTCAACATGGTGAAACCCCGTCTCTACTAAAAATACAAAAAGTTAGCTGGGCATGGTGGCGCGTGCCTGTAATCCCAGCTACTCAGGAGGCTGAGGCAGGAGAATTGCCTGAGCCCAGGAGGCGGAGGTTGCGGTGAGCCGAGATCGCACCATTGCACTCCAGCCTGGGTAACAAGAGCGAAACTCCATCTCAGAAAAAAAAAAAAAAAAAAAGAAAAGAACTAAAGTCCAAAACCAACACAGTTCTACAGGGTCACGATGTCCCCAGCCCGTGCCATAGGCAGGTTGGCTTCTAACCTTAGAAACCAACTCACAAAATAAAGAAATACCTTTTGGTCTCAATATCATACCCCCTTTCCTTTCAGGAAGAAACGTTAATATACCCACAGAAAGGAAATATACTTACCTTCTATTAAAGTGCATTACCCCTTGCTCCCTCCTCTTCCCGAACAACAAAGCAGGAGGCGTTGTATAAAAGCGCTTTATTTTAAAATCAGCACATCCTGCGTGTATAAATCAGTTACTCTCCATTTCCAACTTCCATCACCTGAGCTTGAGAGCAGAGCGCGTGGTATTTTTCTGGGCTTAGGGTATAAACTGACATGGCGTTCAAGAACATGTCCAGCGGGCAGAGCCCATCAGGGCAACCCCTCGGCACCTGCTCCTGCAGAAGACACGTAACTCAGCAGCTCCGCTGAGGAGCCTGTTCTTCTGTTTCCAGCTGAGCCCAAAGTTCGGCGAGGCTCTCACCCACGTGGTAGACGTGTGCACACATATTATACACACAGGACGGCTCCATGACCTGGTCAGCTTCCAGAATAAAAGCACTATGCCCTGCTTATAAAAGTCACTCAAAACGTGTTTGTTGAATTGACTGGGAAGAGACAGTCAAGTTATATCCCTGAGCTGGGAGAACCAACAGGCTCGTCCCTGGGGCATGGACGGGCCTCTGCCCTGGACACCAGCCCTGATGAAGCGGCCGACACCTCAGGTGCCAACAGCACACATCACCCCCCAAAGACACCATCAACGATCTCCCAAACAGGCCTCACAGCCAGGAGGCGACACTGACAGGGACACTCAGGAGAAGAGGAGGGGTACCCTGCCCCTCGAAGGAGTCTGCAACAGAACCGGGATAAGGCCCAAGCCCCATCCTGCCACCACCTGACAGGTTCTTCCTGGCCCCTGGGCCACAGCCAGGGGTTGCCCTATGGGACTCAGAGAGCTGACTGTGCCAAGGGAGATTCCACTGGGCCTGAGGAGGGAGACCTGGTGGGTGGGCTCTGGGGCAGGGGCCTCACCCCACCCAACCCCGCCTCAGGGGTCTTACCTTCCCATGGTAATAGAGCTGCACAAACCACTCCTTAGACTCCTGGTGCTGGTAGAGTTCCATAGTCAAGTCAACAGCAAACGGTGGCCATTTGTGGTCAAAAATCCCCAGGGTCATTAAGAGCGGTATGAGGGTCACATCATGAGCCGCGTAGAGGTACAGCTTTCTGCAAGAGGAAAAAGCTCTCCACAATTCTCTGCCTCAGGACTCTGAAGGTCAGGATGTGGCCTGCCTCCTTTAAGTAAGACACGCTTGCCTCAGAAACCAGGTGACATCTAGAAATCAGCTGAGCCTGACTCAGCAAACTCCTTTGCAGTAGATCGTGGGAAGAACCCCTGTTCTCGCTCCCCATGTCTTCATGAGGAGGGTCCCCACCAGAGAAACTCTCCTGGCCTGCTCCTTGCCCCCCCCTCACTTCTCCCTGGTGAGTTTCAAGACGAGACTGCGCATGTGTGGCCTAGGCCCCACCTCTCTTCTCTCTGTGGGTCCTGCCAGCCTATGGGAGTGCTCTTCCTGCTCTCAGCCATGGATGAGTTTAGTAGGGCAAGGTCTGTTCCCTCTTGGGGACGTCTGAAGTTTTGGGGAATTAAGTTTATTTCAAAAGAATATTCATAAGCCCATTTGGCCCGCAACACATCCTCCAAATGGCTTTCATCCGTAGTAAGAGTGCCATTTAATCGACATCTGCCTGACACCAGTAGCCAACTCTTAGGAAAGATCAAGGATTTTATTTATGGACCCCCAACCTAGAAGACCAGCATTGGATGCTGTGGTATTCTAAAGATCCAAGGTGGAGGGTGGTGAGGGGGCAAAAGCCAGCAAAAATGTGCTGTCAGGGCCAGGTGCGGTGGCTCACGCCTATAATCCCAGCACTTTGGGAGGCCGAGACGGGTAGATCACAAGGTCAAGAGATCGAGACCATCCTGGTCAACATGGTAAAACCCCGTCTCTACTAAAAATACAAAAATTAGCTGGGCATGGTGGCACATGCCTGTAGTCTCAGATACTCAGGAGGCTGAGGCAGGAGAATTGCTTGAACCCAGGAGGCGGAGGTTGCCGCGAGCCGAGATCCCGCCATTGCACTCCAGCCTGGGTAACAAGAGCGAAACTCCGTCTCGGGAAAAAAAAAAAAAAAAATGTGCTGTCAGTGCAGGTACTGCAGAGGACATTAAACAGCATTCTCAAGATCTGCTATGATAAATCTCGGCCCGAAGTTCCTGTTTCAACTTACTGTCCCTACGCCTCTTACGCCATCACGAGCTTCTAGCGATGCGTAATCCCACAACGGCATTTCTCCAAAATTCAGCTGAATATCAATCACCTGAGGATCTTGTTACATTGCAGATACAGATTCAATAGTTCAGTCTGGAGTCTGAGAATCTGACACGTTCTTGGACAACAGTGAGGCTGTTTTTCTGCAGACCACGCTTAGCAAGTGCCTAGGACACATAATATTCCACAGCCATAGTCCCAACTTCGGATTCAAGGCTACAAGAGTGGCAATGGAGGCTCACGGGCCACTTTCACCATCATCATCATCATTATTAGAGACAGAGTCTCGCTCTGTCGCCAGGCTGGAGTGCAGTGGTGCAATCTCAGCTCACTGCAACCTCTGCCTCCTGGGTTCAAGCAATTCCCATGCCTCAGCCTCCCAAACAGCTGGGACTACAGGCGCACGCCACCATGCACAGCTAATTTTTTGTATTTTAGTAGAGACAGGGTTTCACCATGTTGGCCAGGATGGTCCCAATCTCCTGACCTCGTGGTCAACCCACCTCGGCCTCCCAAAGGACACTTCCAACATTTTTAAATGCCTTATGGATATCATACCTTCTTTACATTCAATGAAAATGGTTCAAACTACACAATCCATTAAGCAATTATCTTTGTTTTGGACTATTATCATATCAAATCAGTGTGATATCATAATTGCCTACTGTTTGACCTATGTTCAATTAATTAAAAATAAAGAAGAGAGAAAGCAAAAATAAATTTGAGGTTCTTTTCACTAAAATAAAATTTGCTTTTATTTTTTTTCTTTTTGAGATGGAGTTTTGCTCTTGTTACCCAGGCTGGAGTGCAATGGCGCGATCTCGGCTCACCACAACCTCCGCCTCCTGGGTTCAGGCAATTCTCCTGCCTCAGCCTCCTGAGTAGCTGGGATTCAGGCACGCGCCACCACGCCCAGCTAGTTTTTGTATTTTTAGTAGAGACGGGGTTTCACCATGTTGACCAGGATGGTCTCGATCTCTTGACCTCGTGATCCACCCGCCTCGGCCTCCCAAAGTGCTGAGATTTCAGGCGTGAGCCACCGCGCCCGGCTAAAAAAAAATTTTCAAAACATGACAGGAGAGGTAGAGCAGGAAGAAAGGTCAACAGATCATGAACCTCTTTGAGACTGGGGGCCCTGTTAAACCTCTTCCTTCAGTCACTGACAACTTGATTCTTGCCTCACTAAGATCTTGCAGGGTTCCCTGCCTGCAGCCAGAAGTCCTCACGGCCCTCAGGTACACAAAGCAGAGCTGCTGTGCCAGGTACCTGATGTTGTCAGGTGCAGTGGTAGGGTCCACGGCTCTCAGCAGGTTGCTCTCCAGGATGTGGAGGAATGGGCCCACTGCCATCTGAAGACTTTCCCTGTGAAAAGTGAACAACATTCACGTGCCTAGAGGGCACTCAGCTGATTCTGCCCCCAGGACCTTGTAAGTTCAATCAGACAGAGCTGAGAAAAAGGCACGTAATGCACAAGGGCTAGCAAGGGGCCAGAAGGAGAGAGCCGCACTGCGTGCCGTCGGGGGTCCTCTGTGGACAAAGGCTTCCAACGACACAAGCACCAGCACACAGACCCGTTGTGAACAACTGAGATGGGAGGGGCTGGGGAGCCGGGGAGGGGTGACCCACCTAGGATAAACCACCTAGGCCTTGAGGAATGGAAGAAGAAAGCCGACAACGCTGGGAAGGAGAGGGGATAAGAAATTCCAGGAATTCCAGAAGGCCCTTAGAAAACTAATCAGAAGGAACAAGCACATTCTAAAGGTGGTTTCCACTGTGCCGGCCTTCCGTCTTTTGGAGTTTAGACCATAAGGACATTTCTTATTTACATCTTATTTATTGAAGAGAAGCCGCTCAGCGGTCATGCTCCCCGGCTTGGCTCTGTGGCTCCACCACTTTCCTTCTCAGGCCTGTCACGTCACGACCACAGGTGACTACCGCAGGTGAAGGAGTGAACGAAGCCCGCTTACTCTAGAAGAAATGTTTCTCCTCTATCTGCTCATCAGAACAGCCCACCAGCTTCCACGGAGCTTTCAGGGGCCTGTCTCCTCTTTGTTTTTGTGCTTCCTACATTTTTTTTTATCAAAGAGAAACAAAGACCCCTCCCAGAATTTCCAGAAGCCAGTCACTGACCAATGAAAACAAGGTTGCCATGATTGGCTTAGACAAATCCTCATTCATGGTGATTGGGTAAACGGCCATCTTTCAAGTCAAGGTATGTTGCAGCAACGGATGAAGAGCAGGCCACCAACGCTATGCAACATACGCTTTTCAGAAGAACGCGCAGAGGCAAAGCCAAGCTGGATGGCATTGTGAGGCTGTAGCCATTTGTCCCTGAAGCTGTTAGTTTTACAAAACCAGGGCTAATTGGAATGGAAAAGACGATAGACAAGGTCCTGTTTAAAATGATTTACACCAGGGCCGGGCGCGGTGGCTCACGCCTGTAATCCCAGCACTTTGGGAGGCCGAGGCGGGTGGATCACGAGGTCGAGAGATCGAGACCATCCTGGTCAACATGGTGAAACCCCGTCTCTCCTAAAAATACTAAAAATTAGCTGGGCATGGTGGCGCGTGCCTGTAATCCCAGCTACTCAGGAGGCTGAGGCAGGAGAATTGCCTGAACCCAGGAGGTGGAGGTTGCGCTGAGCCGAGATCGCGCCATTGCACTCCAGCCTGGGTAACAAGAGCGAAACTCCGTCTCAAAACAAAACAAAACAAAAACAAACAAAAAATAAATAAAAAATAAAATAAAATGATTTACACCAGAATAAAGCAAACTACACCACCGGCCAACTCTGATCAATTTTGGTAAATAAATTTTATTGGCACACAGCCGTATCTATTTGTTGGTACACTGTCTCTGGCTGCTTCATGTTACAAGGGCAGAGATGAGTCGTTGTAACAGAAACTGGATGATCTACGCAGCTTAAAATATTTACTAAGAGTGTGCGTGCTGTGTGTGTGTGTGTGTGTGTGTGTTGTTGCTGTTGTTATTGATAAAGAAAGGCAGCAAGTAATAATTTAGGTATGGTGGAGCCCCTCTGCAAACAGAAAAGGGAAGCTGGCAAGTCCCAGGGAGTGGCAGGAAGCTATGTAGCTTGGCAGGAACCTTCTGGATGCCCTAGGCTTGCACGCAAGTGGACACACTGACTCTGAGTGGAAGGAATGCAGTCAGGGGCTCTTATCCTTAGGCAACCAGCCATGCTGATTCTTGAACTGTTAGATGCCTTCCTCCCACTCATCTTTCCCAGGACGCCTTCCCACCTCCCCTCCTCTATCAAGTCAAGTCACGTATTTTTAGTGCAAGCTGAACGCATTCAATCAATCAGATAAAAAAGGTGTCTTCCGAAATTTGGTAAGAGAAAATCTTTCCATTCTGGTAGTCAGGAAACAGACCTTCTAGAAACAGAACCCTACTAAGTGCTAGTAATAAAGCAAAAACACAGAACAGGCCGGCAGTGGATCTGGGTTCAAGCTCTGGCTCTGCCACTGGGCAGGCAGTATCTCCAAGCCTCAGTTTCTTTATCTACAAAGCCAGGGGGAAAGGTATCTCATTCTCTTCACAGTGAGAATGTGAAAATCATTTGTCAATTGTAACATGAGGAATAAAGAGAGAAATACATATTCTTTCCTCGGCTCCCCCAACCCAAATCCTTTAAACCTTAAAGCGAAATGCAAAAGGCAAGTGATAAAGTCCGGAGCGGGGTGGCTCCTGGTTCTGCATAACGGGAAACAGAAGCACTAGGCCACCAGTCCCAGCTGCAGAAGGCCAAGGACCTGGGGCCTATTGGCAGGCGGACAGAGTGAGGTTCAGCCTCCTTACACACAGAGACATCAGCTGCCAGGTGGGAGTGGGCCTGATGAACTCCTGTGCCCCGTACACTTGGGTGTCTGACCAAGCCTGACTTCACGCCAGCCATGAGAGGCCCCTCACCTGTCTTCCGTCTGCAGTACGTACAAGGATGTGTCCACAGCTCGCTGTTCAATTATCCGTGCAAATCTCTTCAGCATGGGGCAGCTTGGGAGGCTGTGTGCCTGAAAGGGCCACAGGTAGTTTCAGAAAAAAATGCTTCCCAGCTACTGATTCTAGCAGCTGATCAACTTTCACGGAACCTGCAGGAGCCCGTCTTCTCCTAGCTCAAGAAGCTATGTCTCTAAACCTCTTCCAAAGCTATTACTAGATATATGGTGGCCAGGAAAAAAAAGGGGGTGTCTTCCCTTTCTGACGGCTCCCCATCCACTCCAAAATGAAAAGCATTGGTAATTTTTTTTTTTTTTTTTGAGACAGAGTCTCACTCTATTGCCCAGGCTAGAATGCAGTGGTGCGATCATGACTCACTACAACCTTCGCCTCCCAGGTTCGAGGGATTCTTCTGCTTCAGCCTCCCAAGTAGCTGAGACCACAGGTGCGCGCCACCACACCCAGCTAATTTTTGTGTTTTTAATAGAGACGGGTTTCACCATATTGGCAAGGCTGGTCTTGAACTCCTGACCAGCGTGATCTGCCCATCTCCGTCTCCCAAAGTGTTGAGATTACAGGCATGAGCCACCACACCTGGCCTGTATTCTTTAGCTTAAAAAAAAAAGATGAATTAAATACAAAGCAAGAAATTCATAAATTCCTACTTGACCTTCATTTTCCCCAAAATGACTTCTAAAAAATATGCCATACGGCTACATGATACGAACTCTTGCCTTCTAACCTTAAACCCGTTTTACACATAAGAGCAAGGTGCATTTCTGCCTTAAGCGTACACTGTCATTTTATTTTCACAAGAGAAGGAGGAAGGAGCCTATACAGCTTTGGGTGTCCAACTTTTGTATCTAGAGAAACATTTCCCATTGTTCGTCTTCTTTATGTATTTATTACAGAAAAAAGATTACACAGCTAAATAAGCTTGAGGAAAACAGACTTAAAGATCAACCACTTTTCTTTATTAAGGGTATCTCAGATTTTTAAAATATGCTGATGTACATATAGTACTCTCAAGAAGTGATACAATAAATAGGGATTCCAAAACTCCTAGACCCCATCCATCCCCCTGCCCATTACCCCACCTGCCCAAACACACTCCTGCATATCCAGTGTTCTGGGGAACACGCCTCAAGAAGTTCTGCTCGAGAGAGCTCAGCGTCTGTGTTCCTGACTGGGTGAGGAGCCCCCCACGGCTCCCTATCCCTCAGTCCCCACATCCATTCTATCTACAGGTCCTATTACAGTTGCCTCCAAACCAGACCTCTGCCCACTTCTCTCCACCCACTTCTCACTCAGGAGTCAGCCCACCAAGGGACATGTTATCGCACGCTCCCCAACCCCAGGTCTCACCTGCTCAGCAGCCACATTGTCCAAGAGGATGAGGAAGTCTACTTCATCACTCCTGTCAAGGCCCATCCCTTCCTTCACCTTTTTCAGATCCTCGGAGATTCCTGGCTGTAAAGACGCAGCCTGCCTCCGGCCTCTGACAAAATATAAAAAGTAATGCCTTATATTCTATAGTGATTAACGGTTTACAAAGTGTGCTTCGCACTTAGGATATCACTTAATCCCTATAACAACCCACTGGGGTTAGCCAGTATTATCCCAGTGTTATGGATGAGTAAACTAAGACTCTATTAGGTCAAATGACTTGTAAACATAAGTCAGCAACTCCCATGGTTAGGATGAAAGATGAATTTTCCAGATCTCACTCTAGCATTTGCATTGTATCAAACAGGATGCAGGCAAGGCCCAAGTCTGTCTGAAAACAGCATTCTCTTTTCTTTATGGAATAAATCCATATAGTATTAAATACCATAGCCTTTGTGTAGCCTACAGATACTTGATAACTGAAAATGTCATCAGCCCAAACTGCTCTATGCTATGCAGAAACGTGCTGGTAAGAGAAGGGACGTCTGTGCCACCCTGGGCTTGTGCACCTGGGTTTGCAGGTCAAAGACAGTCTCAGTCATCTTTCATTGAACCTGCTGGTTTCCTCATCTGCCCCACCTGAGAGCCTGGGGTTGTCAGGAGGATAATACTGTGTGAGTGGCAAAGCCCCACTCGTGGCTATATGTATCATCTGTCTAGCCCGGCGTGCAGCTCTTCCCAGAATTCCTAACCTTCACCATGAGTCTGTCACTGTGAACGAGACTTCTCTTCCAAGACAGCTGATGTCACACCTAAGTGTAATTTAAACCTTCCCATCCATTATCCACCAGTAGGGTTGGCCTGGGCAGGCCCTCAGTACAGAGTTCTGCCAGCAAAGGTGGTAAAAGGCTGTCCCCTGCTGGTGAGCAGGAACCCAGAGGCAGTTACCTGGTTCTCTGCCTCAGGCTCCAGCAGTTTTGGTAGTTGGGATACAAGACTTCCGAGTGTGCTTCATCAGTGTGGATGATGATGGGTCCTGGAAGAAATGCAGGGAGCACAGGCAGGCAGAGGCTTCAGCTTGCTCTTCCCAGCATCTCCACCCCCTTCTTCTCTCGCTTTGTCTAGAGATGGAGCAGAGATCTGCTCCGAGAGGCAGATCATCAAGGTTACTCCTTAAGGACAGTGAACGCCTTCAACAGGGCCTGGCCCTGCCACAGGGGGTCTCCTATAATCTGAGCAATGGAAAAAGTAAGTCGCAGCAGCCTTGTTCTGCCTAGCACGAGCCCTCCTATGGGGCCACAAATAGATCAGAGCAGGTAATAGACCTGAATCAGACTGGCAACTCCCTGACCCCTTCCAAACAATCCCTGCTGTAAAGCACTGCCAGCACCTGGGCATTCTAATAAAGAACAACGTTATCAGACCAAAAACACCTTCTTGCTTCCTGCAGCCGTATCTTAGAGGCCACGTTGGTGATTTATCACACAACGAACTGAGACAAGTGGACACAAGACCACAGAACCTCCCAGACCCCACAGCCTTGCCCAAAATAAAACGCCAGGCTTCTAGATGAATTGCTGGTCTAACCAAAGATCTAACCAAATGAACTTCAATGTTTCTTCTGTACTTCATGGCAGCTCACTGCTGCTCAGAGCTCCTCGGGACCCTTGTCTCCTCCCATCAATGCCAGAAGGTGTTCTAGCACCTTCCCATGCTTTGCTCTGTGCCAGAGACGGCAAGGGCCTGAGGTAGTTCTTTCCCCACACCCCTCAAGCCTGATGGCAAAAGAAATAGCTTCCCAGCAGCAATTTGGGATCCACTGAGGTCACTCCACAAGTGTGATCAGCTGAATCGAAGTCCCAAAGAGGTATTTATTCCCAAATTACTGATAGTCAGAACCGAGGGCTTTAAAAGTAGCCTATAACTTGACTAGAATATCAGAATTCACACACACATCATTGGTCTGGACCGAAGAAGAAACCAGACTGAAAGTCATGAGTTTAGTCTTCAGTTTACAACCAACCAGCTGAGTTGCCTGGGGGAGTCATGACCATTCTCTGGGGTTCATCTGTAAATGGAAGGGGTGGAACTATATAAGCGACAGAACCCCCCCACCCTGCAACTATAACGTAAAGTATGGTAATAGAAGGAGAGGTGCTGACGGCCGCAAGGTGGACATCCAAGGCACTGTCCACTGCGTGTCCCGTCCCCTCCTTTTCTGTACTTCCTGAGACCGCTCTGAAGGATCCTGGTGGTTCTGCAGCATGCGTTGTGAAAAGCGCAAACCAAATGCTGCCTCCAGATACACATGTCCTCAAAGAAACAGCTGAGCATAAAAGGAAAAAGGAGGATTCGGAACCGAAGCTGCCAGAGTTTGAATCCTAATTCCACTCTTTCCACTATTCACCAGTTCTGTGTACCTGGGCAAGTCGTTTAGCCTCTCTGTGTCTTGTTTCTCTTATCCGTTAAAGGGGATAACAATACCTCACTCATCGGGTTATTACAAGAATCAGACGAGGTAATATATGTGAAGTTCTTCGAACAGAGTTTGCTGCATACATTGGCCCTCCATGTCCTTGAGTTCCACATCCATGGATTCAAGCAACCATGGGTTAACAGTATTTGAGGAAAAAAAGAACAATACGAAATAACACAATAGAAATCACATAAATTAGAAAACAGCCCAGGATAATACACAGCGTTCATACTGTAGTGGGTATTATAAGTAATCTGGAGACGATCTGAGGTACATGGGACGAAGGACATAGGTTATATGCAAAGCTATGCCACTTTACGTAAGACACTTGGGCATCTGTAGATGTTGGTATCTGCCAGAGGTGAGGGTTGTCCTGGAACCAATCCCTTTTGGATACTGGGGAATGACTGTACTAAATCCTTTTTGTGATAGAATAACTATGACTTAAACCTGTAATATAACACTAATAATATTATAAACCTCTAATATCTGGAGTCTGATATTGGTGTCTGGATCTTGGACCCACAGCTTACGATAAATAAGGCACACTTGAGTAGACATATGTACACAGAGCACATGACTGGCTAAAGGGGCAGACCAGCAATCTCCAGCTTTCCCCACAGCCTGATTTGCTGTAGCTCACGTGTAACTTCTGGGATTTTTCTAGGATTTTACCCCTAAAGCAGTATCCCAAAGTTGCACCACTTCCATTAACAGCGGCACCTTCTGGGATTCTTTTCTTTATTCAAGTTCCTTCCCATAGGAAAGGCATGGAAGTAGCTAGGAATGAAGCCAAACTGGAGCCCCAACACCCGTGGGTCCAGTACAGGGAGCTGCTACCCAGACAGCCGCACCTGACGCTAGAGATTTCCTTCCCTGCTAGAAACCTGGGGCATTCTCAGCCTGGGACCTGCTAAAGAGAATGTTGCCACCAAGAAACATCTTTCCTTCTCAGTAGCACTTCCGATGTGTCTGAAAGATCTTGGGGTCTTTCAGAAGCTGAGCAATTGAGAGCTTTCAGAAGATCGGGTGCTGTGGATCATTCAAGGCCTCCCAAGAAGTAAGGGGGAACCCATCCTGCTTTATGTTACCTAGACACATAGTGTGTGTGTACAGCAGCCAACTACAGCCAGAATTAGCCGTAGCATCCAACCCAGCTGGGGCGAAATCAGACTCCCCTTTCCTGAAGGTTCTATTATTCTACATATTTCTTAAAAAGTGTGATGGAAATTGTGTTTCTATTTGAGATACTGCCAAAAAAGCTAAACAAAGTAGCAAGCACCTTTGCTTTACGGCACCTTTTTAGTGAGGTCACGATGATCCAAAATTCAGACCAGTGATTAAATGTAAATTCGAACCAATTACAAATGACAAAGTGCAGCTTCTTGTGATGACCAAAGGCTCTCAACACAGGAGATCCACAAGGGGAAGTAATTAACGCAGTCCATGGGGATGAAAAGGTTGGGAACCACAGACTGCAACCATTCAGGGGCTGAAGGTGTCCAAGCCCAAACTCGATGGACTTTCTCAACCAGGAAAGCCTAGACAGAACGCTGTTTATGCTATGGACGATCACCAAGATCAGGGCAGTAGCAGCGGGACTGGGTCCCAGCTAAGTGTCCTTCCTTTTCAGCCGTGTCTCACCTAAACAAAAAGCCCCCTCGATTGTTCATAAAACATGGTCAGGACCGCCTTGTGCAGCTTGTGTAGAAGGCTGACGGGAGACCCCAGGAGCCAGAGGCAGATCAGAGGAGCTGGCACGCTGCCGCCGCTGTTGAGGGCAGGCCAGCAGGGGGAGCATAAGGCCGGGCAGGGGAGGGCCCACTGGACTAGGCACACACTGGAAGTCACACACGCAGGAGAAAAATCAAATCAATGGAACAGGCACCAAGAAAGAGACAGGGGCTTTGGAAGTGAGAAGCAAGAGCCCCTCAGGACAGGGACTGAGTGTGGGACCTCAGATACGAACCTTCTTTCTGACATTGGAAAAGCCCAGCTAGCAAACAACGGGTGGACTCCAGATTCCGAAATATGTTGGTGGAACGAATACTGAAAAAAATTACAGGATAGTGACACTCGCAAAAGGAGTATTTAAATATCTACACTTTATTCCACAGAGGCCCCAGGGGGTCTTTCAAGAGGATCTAGGAGAGCTATGGGGCTAGGAAGAACGCTTTACTTCTCTGTGGGATGTCTGCCCCTAAGAGACTCGAAGGCCAATGAATGTGACCTTCAGAAACCACCCATTCACAGCATCCTATGACACAAGTAACTGCATCATGACAAGCTGTCCCCCAGACTACCTTGGGTGAGAGTGGGGACCATCTTGGGCTGTCAGGACAGGTATCCTCATGCTCAAGACCTTAAATCAAGCGCAACATCCATCCCTTTTCAAGTGACTCACAAGACCTCCTGTGGGTGGAAGGTCGGTGAAAGAAAGGCAACGTCTTCTACATAGTTCTTCCTCAGTCTCTCTCCCAGCGTGAACATCTGCTGCATGCCCACCTTGGTCAGCTGCCCCGCAAACATGCCCCCCTGAAGTAGGGAAGAAAGAGAAGGAAGAATGAAAACACCCGACAGCCTGCTGAACTCAGCCCAGAGAAAAGCACCCGAGCTTTGCAGTGGGGCTCCCCAGAGCAAGGAAGCATTGCTCACCTTCAGGATGGTCTCCTGGTATTGAGAGTCGTAAGGAGAAGGTGGTTTCGGACCGCCAAGCAGATTGGTGACTGCGTAATCACACTGAGTTTGGGGTGGGACCTCTAATAGCTGGGGGTTCCACTCTACCTGTTATGACCACAAACAACAACAACAACAAACACATTGTTTAAAAACGTTTCTTGAAATTCACAGCATTAACATCTAGCAGCACTGAGAACACATGGCTGGAATCACCGATAACTAGGCCTCCAACCTGCCCATGGGAAGGAAGGAAAGAAATATTAGCTAAAATTAAGGGAAGAAAAGACGGTGACTTCTTATTCCAGGTGTCCTTAGCCCAAGTCCTGTTACTGCTACACTGGTAATGACTGCTAAGGGGCTACTCCGGCACTTAGCCCACACTGAAGTCAAGGGAAGAAGTGGCCAGAACGCCTGACATGCAGACATATGGTGAATGAACGAAGAGATGGATGAAAGAAATATGGTATCGGTGACCATATGTGCGTAAGAATTTATAAGGAATTAATCTGGAGGTTTCTATGCCCTATCCCAGCTTAAGGATTCTACCTAATGTCCCTTGTAACTACTACATATTTCTCCTCCTTCATGCAATTCATTAAAAAAAGCTACCATCTAAGAAGGTGTGGCTTTTTCATCATCTTCCATTATTCCTTGCAATCTGGCTCCTGCCCCAACTGTGCTGTATGGATTTCAAAACCTCACTAGTGGCCACAGGTCTCACAGCTCCAACTGTCCATAAAGCTCTGACACTCATGGCATCGGATGTGATGCTTGCAATTTTAAAAACAAGTCTTCTCTTCTAATCCCATAGACCAGTGTCTCTTCCCAATCGACTATGTCTCTCAATGTTACCGCAGGTCTCCCAGGCTCCAAACCTCAAGCCTTTGGCTCCCTGTGGCTCCACCATCCCCACGCCAAGCCGTTCATCACTGGCTAGAAGAAAAGTCCCTCCCAACGGTCCTTCCATGATCTTATTGCAGAGGGTAAACCTTATTACTGCAGGCAAAAGCCTGACAGACTGTTCCTTTGTACCTGCACAATCCATCCATCCATGGCCACCTAATCTTTTTGGAAAAATTTCTTTTTTATTACATTTAAATATTTTATTTTTAATTGACAAATCATTGTATATTTTATATATTTATGGAGTACAATGTGATGTTTTGATATGTTTACATTTGATATATGATTAACTAATGTAAACAAAATCCATCAGCTCACATACTTTCTTTTCTTTTTTTTTTTTTGAGACAGAGTCTTGCTTTGTCACCAGGCTGGAGTGTAGTGGCGCAACCTCGGCTCACTGCAACCTCCGCCTCCCAGGCTCAAGCAATTCTCCTGCCTCAGCCTCCCGGGTAGCTGGGACTATAGGGGTGCACCACCATGCCCAGTTAATTTTGTTTTTTGTATTTTTAGTAGAGACGGGGTTTCACCGTGTTGGCCAGGATGGTCTCGATCTCTTGACTTCATGATCCACCCACCTCGGCCTCCCAAAGTGCTAGGATTACAGACTTGAGCCACTGCGCCTGACTCATACTTTCATTTTCATGTGGTGAAAATATGTAAAGTCAACCTTTTAGTAACATAGGCACACATTATTTTATTGCTCTTTATAGATATTGCATTTTTTACAAATTGCATTTTTTACAAATTGAAGGTTTATAGTAACTGCATTGAGCAAGTCTCCCAGTGACATTCTCCCAACAGCATGTGCTCATTCATGTTTCTGTGTAAAATCTGGTAATTCTCATCATATTTCAAACTTTTCCATTATTAAATCTGTCAAAGTGATCTATGATTTGTGATTTTTTTTCTTTTTGAGATGCAGTCTGGCTCTGTCGCCCAAGCTGGAGTACCGTGGCATGATCTTGGCTCATCCTCCCACTTCAGCCTACCGAGTAGTGCCGAGTACGGGCATACACACCAACACGCCCAGCTAATTTTTGTGTTTTTTTGTAGAGACATGTTTTGCTATGTTCCCCAGGCTGATCCTGAACTCTGTGATCTTTGATGTTACTATTTTAATTGTTTTGGAGTGCCACAAACCACATCCGTATAAGATGGCAAACTTAATCAATAAATGTTGTGTATTTTCTGACTGCTCTGATGACTGGCTTTCCCCCATCTCTCTCCCTCTCCTCAGGCCTCATTTCCTAAGACACAACAATATTAAAATTACGGCAGTTAATAACCCTACAATGGCCTCTAAGTGTTCAAGTGAAAGGAAGAGTTGCAAGTTTCTCACTTTAAATCAAAAGCTAGAAATGATTAAGCTTAGTGAAGAAGACATGTAGAAAGCTAAGATAAGCCAAAACCTATGCCTCTTGCACCAAACAATTAGTCAAGTTATGAATGCAAAGGAAAAGTTATTGGAGGAAATTAAAAGTACAACACTGATGCACACGCCAACACTAAGAAAGGGAAACAATCTTACTGATAACGTGGAGATACTCAATGCAGAAGAAACAGCCTATATCCAAAGAAGATCCCAGCTAGGATTTTCACAGCTAGAGAGAAAAAGTCAATGCCTGTCTACAAAGCTTCAAAGGACAGGCTGACTCTCATTAGGGATTAATGCAGCTGGTTTCTTTAAGTTGAAGCCAAGGCTCATTTACTATTCTATAAATCCTACAGCCCTTAAAAATTACGCTAAATGTACTCTGACTGTGCTCTATAAATAGAACAACAAAGCCTGTATGGCAGCACATCTATTTACAGCATGGTTTACTGAATATTTTAAGCCCACTGTTGAGACCTACTGCTCAAAAAAGAAAATTGATTCCAAAATATTACTGCTCATTGACAATGCACCTAGTCACCCAAGGGCTCCAATGGAGGTGTACAAGATTAATGTGGCTTTTGTGCTGCTTAAACAATGACCATTCTGCAGCCCATGGCCCAAGGAGTAATTTTGACTTTTAAATCTTTATTATTTAAGAAATACATTTCGTAAGGCTATTATTGCCTAGATCGTGATTCATCTGATGAATCTGGGCAAAGTAAATTGAAAATCTTATGGAAAGAATTCACCATTCTAGATGCCATTAAGAATATCTAGGGCTGGGTGCAGTGGCTCACGCCTGTAATCCCAGCACTTTGGGAGGCTGAGGTGGGTGGATCACAAGGTCAAGAGATCGAGACCATCCTGGTCAACATGGTGAAACCCCATCTCTACTAAAAATACAAAAAGTTAGCTGGACATGGTGGCATGTGCCTGTAGTCCCAGCTACTCAGGAGGCTGAGGCAGGAGAATTGCCTGAACCCAGGAGGCGGAGGTTGCGGTGAGCCGAGATGGCGTCATTGCACTCCAGCCTGGGTAACAAGAGCGAAACTCCGTCTCCAAAAAAAAAAAAAAAAAGAACATCTATGAGGAGGAGGTCAAAATAGCAACATTAAGAAAAGTTTGGAAGCTTTGATTCCAACCCTCATAGATGACTTTGAAGGATTCAAGACTTCAGTGGAAGAATACTGCAGATGTGATGGAAATAGCAAGAGAACTAGAATTAGATGTGGGACCTTAAGTTTTAACTGAATTGCTGCAATCTCATGATAAAACATGAATGCATGAGAAGTTACTTTGAAGAAGTGGTTTCTTGAGAGGGAATCTAGTCCTGGGGAAGATGCTGTGAACACTGTTGGAATTACAATGGATTTATTACATAAACTTAATTGATAAAACAGTGGCAGAGTTTGAGAAGATTGACTCCAATTTCAAAAGATGTTCTACTATGGATAGAATGCTATGAAACTGCATCACAAGCTACAGAGAAATCTTTCATGACAGGAAGAGTCTATCAATGTGGCAAACTTCACTGTTTCTTTTTTTAATTTAGTTTTATAAAATAGAATTTTTATTTTTATTTTAAAAACTTTATAAAGTAAAATTTTTATAAAATAATTTTATAAAACAAAATCACTGTTTATTTTTAAAAATTGCCACAGCCACACCAACGTTTAGCAACCATTACCCTGATCAGTCAGCAGCCATCAACATCAAGGCAAGACCCTCCATTGGAAAAAGATCATGACTCACCAAAAGCTCAGGTGATCACTAGCACTTTTTAGCAATAAAGCATTTTTAAATTAAGGTAAGAACATTTTTAGACATGCTATTGCATAATTAATAGGCTACAGAATAGTGTAAACATAACTTTTTTTTTTTTTTTTGAGACTGAGTTTCGCTCTTGTTTCCCAGGCTGGAGTGCAATGGCGCGATCTCGGCTCACCGCAACTTCCGCCTCCTGGGTTCAGGCAATTCTCCTGCCTCAGCCTCCTGAGTAGCTGGGATTACAGGCACGCGCCACCATGCCCAGCTAATTTTTTTGTATTTTTAGTAGAGACGGGGTTTCACCATGCTGACCGGGATGGTCTCGATCTCTGGACCTCGTGATCCACCCGCCTCGGCCTCCCAAAGTGTTGGGATTACAGGTGTGAGCCACCGCGCCCGGCCATGTTTCTTATGACTGGAATTTTCTTTCCTTATTCATCTAAGACTTTCGTTCATTCCATACGACTCAGCTTAAATGTTCCCAGAAATCTTGATCACGGCCTTACGCTTTCACAGCAGCTTCAGTGGCTCTCCTTAGTCGCCTTTACCAAAGTGTATTAAACGAGCCCCTTTACTGGTCTGTCCTGTTCAGGAGACTTGGCTTCCTGAGAACAGAGACTGGGTCATCTATTGACCTCTGAGCAAAGGGCCTCACACACAGTAGGTACAATTAACAGCTCCAACAATTGGCCAGCTCCTGTGGAAGACACCCACCTTGAGAAAACTTGACCCTGCCTTTCCTGGGTTTTCAAGTTAGTAAAGAAAAAAGGGAAACAAGGCCGGGCGCGGTGGCTCACGCCTGTAATCCCAGCACTTTGGGAGGCCGAGGCGGGTGGATCACGAGGTCGAGAGATCGAGACCATCCTGGTCAACATGGCGAAACCCCGTCTCTACTAAAAATACAAAAAATTAGCTGGGCATGGTGGCACGTGCCTGTAATCCCAGCTACTCAGGAGGCTGAGGCAGGAGAATTGCCTGAGCCCAGGAGGCGGAGTTTGTGGTGAGCCGAGATCGCGCCATTGCACTCCAGCCTGGGTAACAAGAGCGAAACTCCGTC